AAAAAAAAAAAGAACCCCAGAAACCCAAAGCCCAGCAATATTGTTTTGATAACTTCCCACATACCTGCTCTGGCAGAGTAAAGCAAATTTGACTGAGATACTTGTAAATGAGTTTAATTCCTCTTTTTGTCTTGAATTTAATGGCATGAACAGCCAACACTCAATATAGCAGGTAACAGAGAGTGAACTGATACCAGGCAACCAAGTTCAAGCAATAACTGTTCTTCGGTTTTCCAGTAATTTCATGCATTTGATCTCTTTGTTTTCTCAACACTCTTTCATGCTGATATTAAACATACTTCCACTTCTGGTAGTTGCACCAAAGTACCTCTGTTAATATTTTTTGTGAATTAAAATCTCTAAACCTCTATGTTTTCAAAATTGATCCAGCATTTTGCATGGATAAGATACAAACTGGTTTAAAACATTTTTTAATCTATTCAGATAAAATGGTGCTGTTAAAGAGAAAAGTATTTATTCAGTTCTTTTTGTGTGCTTCAGAAGACAGTGTTTTGAGCCTTGCGTTTATGTCAGTGAGCTCATTATCATTTTGATCATAACAATGATAACCGCTTTATGTCTAAGAACAACAGCTGGTCACAATGTTTTATGAGTATACACAGTTTTAAAAAAAGAAAAAATTAAGTACAGACCAGTGATTTTCGTAGAATTTGCCTTGGGTTTTGTCATCTTTCAGAGGGTATTTCAGCTCACTTCTTTCACATTTGTCAGTCCTTAATTTTGAAGAAAGGAAATCAGTGACATTCTCTGTTATGGATGTAATGAGCTGACTCCAGTCAGAAAACCAGCATATCAGAGCTGCTCCTGAGGAGCTTATGCAAATCCTTCTGAGCATCACCATTCTTCAACAAAAATCAAAACAATCCCCCTGATTTCGGAGACGTTGTTTCTGTACTCCCTCATTTCACACACACAAACATGCCACAGTGCTTTAGCTGCTGACTTGTCCTCTCAGCTTTGGAGTTTTATCAACAACCAGGGAAAACTGCTGACTACCTAATTAATCCACTTTGTGAAGATGCTCAGCCACTTCGGGAAGAAAACATTATTGTTCAGGCTGAATGCGTGTTTACTTAAACAAACTGGCAGCTGGATTGTCAGAGTGAAGCCAGTGCAATTCCTCCAGAATCCATGGTGCACTCAAGCAGGCAGGGGATTTGCTCCCACGTGAATACTGTTCTAATCCCCTTCAAACCAACACCTTGTTTGATGTGTTACTGTGGATTCAGGCACTTTTAAATCACCTTGTTTTACAAGCCACTCAAGTGTTGCAGTATCAGCACCATAAAATCTCGATAGTCACCTTTACTCTCGTTCTTATTCTGCTTGTTTATATCCACTGTGTGCTGTTTGAAGGATTTTCTTTTGCAAGGCTCTGCAGGAACCAAATGTCACTCCGTTCTGGGAAGGTGCCCTGTGCTTGTAAGGAATGCTGTGTTGTCCTCCACCAGCACCACATTGGAAGATATCCATGAAAGCTCAGGGCAAGAACATAAATGCTCTCTGGCAGAATAACCCTGGAAGTACACATGTTTTGATCCTGATAATAGTAATCATCCTGATCCCTATCTGTGGTCATGTTTTCAGAGTTTTCTTCTGAAAAATTGCTTTTTTTAAAAAAGTTCACAATCTAGAGCAGAAACTTTCTTTAAGGCACTGGTTTAGTGCCTGGAGGGGGATTCTCAGAATATCTCTGGGTTTGGAGGTATTTCCCCTCATTTTATGGAAGAATGCAGGTGACTTGTGCTGGCTTTCTGTAGTTCCTTGTGATAGGGCAGTGACAGGCATCCGATTGTTGCACTCTCAGTGTTCATTCACCGTTGATCTGACCTTCCCTTGAAGTGATCTTCATATTGAATGTACTCATGAATGACTAGAGGAGAGGAGAAAAGGGGCAGTGGAATGGTGGAAGAGAAGACAAGAAAAAGAAAAGAGAATTGACAGCATTTTAGGGGGAAAAAAGTTTTAAAAAAGACTGTGATGGTTTTTCTCGGGAGTAATGAGCAAGCAGCACAACAACAAGTGTCATTTCAACTCCATGGTCAATAAATTCAAGGGATTGCAGTTTGGAAGAAATAATTTCAGCTGCTTGGGCACCTTACTGAGTGTTCCATTACTGGCAATATAATGATATTTGCAGTATTAATGGCTCCCCAGCCGGGAAGGCTTGCCACATAAGCAGCAGCCACTGGAGAGCAACAACAGAAGAGGCTGGTTGGGGAGTGGGAGGAAGATACCAGAGATTTAATGACCTGAAAGTGAAGCATTTGAAATGTAATTACATGAAGAACATTTGTTTTTCCTCTTGTGATTATGTTTGAATAACAAGGACTGAGGTACCGGCAAAGGAATTGGGAAGTAAATAACAGCTAGGGATTTGTTTTCTTTAGTTTCAAGAAGGGACATGATTTGAAGTGTAGTATTTGATTTGAATGGTCTCTCTCTGAATTTGAGAAGTGAGGGAAATAAAATGAAATCTGTTTAAGTCAGAGGGGCGAGATCCCTTGTTAGTGTGTACACAGATGCACTTCCAGCTAATTTCAAGGCAGTTTTTATTTATTCCAACTGTTCCTAGGTGCCATTAAAATACAAAAGGCAGAAAAAGTGACCTGCAAGCTCTCAAAAAACGCCACCTTCAGAATCTCTTGGTCTCTTTAATACCCAAAGGCTCTTCTGCCATTTGGCTGTAGCACACAGTGCTGCTCTAAGACTGAACACTGGGAAGGCTTTTAACCACTGTCATTGAGGCTGAAGGCAAAATTGATAACTATAATTTTCTGGTAAACTGCACCTTCCTTAGCTTCTACTAAATGAGAAACTTTCACCCATTTTTATGTGCCAGTTCAAGGTCTTGACATGTTCTATCTTATGCCAGAAAATGCACTTGACTGCACTGTGACTTAGTACAATATAATGAGCTTTACTAGTCTTGCCAGCCCTGCCACAGGTTTTTGTACTTGAAGTTGTGTTAGATGGGACTGAGAGGGTTTTTTGCCTCAATATACTGGGAATCAAAGCAGTCCAAAAGGCCTGGGGAGAGGTGAAGCTCTCTGGGCACTCAACTCAATATTTGCTCCCTTGGTCTTTTTTGGTCCATCCCTGTTGTGTTACAATTTTGCAAAAATGAGAAGAGAGAAACTTAAGATCAGGCAGATTCCATCAATAGGGATTTAAGTGTAGAAATGTTTTTAGCTAGAAGTTACATATCTTAGATCACTATGACTGAAAAGAGAGGAATAAAAGGGATTTTTTCAGTCTGGAATGCACAGTTTGTTGGAATTGCTTATTCTAGGTGAGAAAAGTTAATTGTAATGATAATACAGCTACAGTACTACAGCTAATGATAACATGTGAAAACATCTAATGAAATGCTGGTATTGATAATTGATGATGAAGGCAACTTAGCCCTAATAGGCTTAGGAGCTCTCCAGTGCCCTCCTCAGTTCCTCAGAGATGTATGCCTGGACTCTGCAACCCTCCTTCTGTTAACCGTGTTAAGATGGGTTAGAACAAAGAAAAGTGCACATTTTTAATAGAGTAGGCAGAAGCATTTGTCTAGGTATTGTGATGTTTTAATTGAGATGAAAATTCAGTGCTGAGAATTTTCATAAAATCAAAATTAGAAAAAATATATGACTAGGCTTGAAACATTTGAATTCTGCTCTGTCTCCTTTCTAACATTTAATTCCTTCTAAAAAAAAAAAAAGAAAAGAAAAAGTTTTTCAAAGGAGAAAGGAAGCAGGGTATCAGAAATATGAAGAGAAACGTCTCAGCTTAAAGTCCAAAGGAGATATTCCTCAAAACTGACTTCTGTCCTGATTAATTTTGCTAAAAATAAATCAATATCTTCCAGTAAAAACTCTCTATTAAAACATCTTGACCAGCAAAAGTATCACAGCTTATGCCTGTGCATGGCTTCCACTCTTCCAAAGGCCTCGACAAAACATTCTGCTTTGTTTCCCACAGGACTTATTCCTTGCATGTTTCAAATGCATTTTGCCATGGGTAGAAGAAGCTGGACCACACCCGAAGTGGGGAAAGACTGGGCCTGTTCATTGCCATCTGATTTCCAAAGGATTTCAATCCCTGTTGGGCTGGTGGGATTATTCCTGGGTGGTGGTGTCTGTCTGTGTCGCAGCGTGTGCCCTGTGCTGGAAGGGCCAGTGTGGCCCTCGATGAGTGTGGTATGAAGAAGAAGGTGGCAGCATTAAATTAACTGCTGGGAAAAGAGCACCTAACTTTGCTGGATGGCATTTGAAATTTCTGAGGTGTTGCACAAACAGGAATTACCCTTTACACTCCCTGAAAAGGTAAAAACTGCTGGTCTTGCAAAGCCAGGAAGGGGTAAGAGCCATGATACAGTGCTTGGTTTCTCTCTGTCTTCCAGATCATAGAGTGATAGAATGGTTTGGGTGGTAAGGGACCTTAAAGATGATCTAGTTTTAAGCCCTCTGCCATGGGCAGGGATGGCACTCACTAGACCAGTCAGCTCAAGGCCTGATCCAGCCTGGGCTGGAACACGTGCAGGGATGGGGAATCCACAGCCTCTCTGGGCCACCTGTGCAAGAACCTTAGCACCCTTGCAGTCCAGAGAGAGCTTAAGGCTGTGCCCCTATCCCCAGCTGCCTTGGGAGAAGTCCCTCTCCAGCCCCCTTACAGAGCCCCTGAAGGTACTGGGAGTTCCTGTAGAACTCCTAAAAGGTCAGCAACGAGAAGGAGTCGGTTGGCTGTGGCCGTTGGCTGGCATGAGCCCAGGGATCCAGAATGTTGAGGGATGGACCAATCAGAAGGCTCAGGTCCAGGTGACACCATAAGGCCTTGGAATACCTGTGGCAGTTGGAGGGGCAGAGCAGCGGAGGCCAGCGCAGTGGCAGGTCACTGCAGCGTGTGCTCCTGTCGTGCTTCCCTCCTGTTGCCTTTTTTTGGCATTGGCGTTGTTGGGTGGAAGTCGCCCGGGACCTTCTTGAGTTGGAAGAGGAAGAGCTGAAGAAATGAGTGCAAGTATTCCCTCGATGGAGCTTCCCAGCTGTGAAGTCCAGAGACTTGAAGAGATAGCAGACCTGGTGAGCTCTGTTGGCCACTCACGTGTTGAAAAGCGAATGCTAGCCTGGGCCTTGAAAGAGGAAGGCTATATTCCCAAACTGCTGCAGCTTTTCCAAGTCTGTGAGAATGGAAAGGACACCGACAGCTTGCATCTTCTGTTTGATATTGTGAGAAGAATGTTGTACCTGGATGAAGAAGTTGTGTTTGAGGTGATGTTTTCTGACGAATGCATTCTGGATGTTGCTGGATGCCTTGAATATGATCCGTCTTTGGCTCAACCAGAAAGCCACAGGGAGTTCTTGATGAAAACAGACAAACGTCAGGAAATTATTCCAACAAGAGACCCTGAAATCAGGAAGAAAATCCGTCAGACATCCAGGGCAGAGTACATTCGTTCCATCATCTTGCGGAACCCACCAAAGTCGCAGAGAGGTTCTCTTTCTACCCTCACTGCATTCATCAGACGCAGCAAAAAGGAGATTTTAAAAATGTTGCAGGTAAGTGGGTTTTAGTGTGGCCTAGGTGGGATCTGTATAGATCCTTCTGGCTGTAGTTTGGAAATGGGTTACAGGTGGTGAACACTGTCTAAGTTAATGCCTTTCATTTGCACAATGTTTGAATGTCTTTCTTTCTGATGTCTTGGGTTCTGTATACTTTCAAAAGGTAGATTTCAAGTGAGTATCTTAACCCTTTTAATGGATTGTAAAGTGTTTCAAGTCTTTCTCTGTGACTGAGAAGCACCATACACATTTGGAACTGGTTTTGTCTAGGTATTTTGGGAACAAGCAACATTTGGTATACTTTATCAGGGGCATTTGTTACACTGTTTTCCGTGTGAAGGGGTGCAAAGAAATGGATGGGCAGAGAGGGCAGAAAGCACCCAAACACTTGAGAGGTGCTGATGTTCCCCCTCGTTTGCTTGGAGTCTGAAGCAACAGGGTAACCCAAATGCTTTACAAGAAGTAAAATCCATTGCTATATATCCTTAAGGAAGCCTTGGCAGTAGAGGATGTGAATCTGAGAAGCAAAGCATAGTCCCCCAACTTTCCTATCTTGTCAAAGCAGAGCTCCTGTAAGTGGGAGAGCTGGTTTTATTGTGAATAAGGTTAAGGAGGATGTGGCTGCAGCCAACTCGTAACCTGTTCATCTCGTCCCCCTTGCAGAGGTGGACTGAAAAGATGCCTTGCAGTGCTGCAGATCCCAAAGAGGGAAACTGATCCCTGGGGGATGTTCCCAGTGTAGTGTGAACAGCAGGGATGCAGCAAGGTCGATGTTGTCCCTTGGTGGGCACTTTGTAGTGCAGAAGTGCATGAGTTGCTTCCCTGGAAGGTTCTGTGCAAGGTGCAAGGAAGGAGCCTGGCACAGCTCTGGACTGCCCTTTTGTGTCCTTTTGCTGTGGTGGGGTGTGTGACAAATCCCACAGGGAGTCTGTGAGGCTGAGAAGAGCTGCAAATCCCTGGGTTGGAATTGCACAGAAGGAAAGGAAGTGCCACTCTCTGTAGAGACAAACTTAGGGGTCAGTTTTAGGATTGTCTCCTGTGCTCAGGTTCACCTGCGGCTCTGATCTCCCAGAGCTGCTTGTGCTGCACACGGGGAGTGCTGAAACAGTACACTGGAAATGATCCTGCTGGATGAGTACTCTGGCCTTTGCCTTTTAGGGGATAAAAGTAGTGGAGTTATTCATGAAAAGCGTTTGACTTTGTTCAGTGGAGGATTGTAGAAAGATTTCTGTTGATTGTCCAGAGGCACCGTGTAAGTTGTGTTCTTTTTGTGTGTTCTGCAGAGAGATGAGGCGTTTTTGTCTGAAATTTTTGCCCAGTTGAAAGATGAAGCTACAGCTGATGAGCAACGACTGCAATTGGTAAGTCAGTGGTCTAGTGAAATTGTTCTGCTAGTTCTGCAGACTTGGAGGTGTTTCTGGAGAATCAGCCTGGACACCCTCCCTCGAACACAAACTGGAACTGTGTCCTCCTTTCCAAGACTTTTCTGACTCAAAGAAACCTGACCTTATTTTCTTCTTGTGCACTAGGTGAAGCTTTTCCGGGAATTCTGCGCCTTTTCTCTCACATTCCCTAGGAAGAGACGTGCATTTCTCAACACTTTGGCAAGGTTTGAATTTCTTCCAACTCTCAAAAGGTTAATGGTAAGTGAAAACTCACAGCTGATTTTATTAAAACTAGAAAAGCTCTTTTAGCCATTTCCCCAGGGTTTTGGATCTACCTCATGTAAGTCTGATTGGAGAGCTTTTGTCTGCTGAGAGTGGAAGTTCCTTGTAATGTTCTGCCTCCAAAAGCTGCCCACAGTTCCACTCTGGAGCAGCCTTGGGTTGATTGCTCTTCCTGTTTTTACTCTACATGATGGAGAAGTCTGTGGGCAGTGCAGTCCTTGTGACAAGGTGGTGTGAGCCTTGAGGGAGACTCTTCTTGTTGTGGCAGCTTGATTGTTTTTTGTCAGACACAATGCTGTCTGAATTCCTGTGGCCTGTAAAGGAGCAGAGAAATTGTTGTAAACTTTGATTTGTACAGCTGGTCCTTTTGTACCAAATGACTAAATTGTGGATAAGAGGTAGGGAAGATCAGTGTCTGAGATCTTGTAGCAAGTAGGGCGATGTGAATGTTTGTGGCCTAAAGTTGGGCTCTCAAGTTCCCAGAAAGCCTTGTGTCCTTTCTGAAGGAGGGAAAGGGTGGCCAAAGATTTGTCTGGTTGCTTGTTGTTTTTCTGGAAGTATTTTACTATGTTTCTCCTCTTAGAAATGATTGTAATGAAACATTGTCCAGACTTTTAAGTGTCTCTTCTTTGCAGCTTCACTTGATCCTAAATACCCAACATGATATACTCTACCAAAGTAATCTCTTTTGTTTTAGGGAATGAATGATCTGCAAGTTAGATCTATTGCTACAGATATATTGTCTTATGTAGTATACTTTCATCCATCCATGGTCCTCAACTTTGTACTGCAAGAGGCCCATGAGAGTGACAAGGTAAGTAGATTTAGGGCAAAGAGGGAAACAAGAAGCCAAACAAAGTGTCAATTCCCCTGTTTCCTTTGAATTCATAAGAAAATTGCAGAAATCGGGAGCTCATTTCATTCCTGCTAGTACTTATTTTGTGTTTTCTTGCTTGGTTTGTTTTTTGCAGAACGACCAGCTCCTCACTGTGATCATTGAGCAGCTGATCAACAATTCCGACCCTGGACTTGGAGGAAATAATCAGCTCAAGGAGATTTTGTATACTCTGATTGATCCACGGAATATGCGCTACAAAGCTAATGTAAGTGAACGTTAAGGGCCGAAGACACATCACTGTGTCAACAGAGTTAAAAAAAAGCCTGAGGGTCTCTATTGCTATTATGAGGGGCAGAGGGTCAACAATTTCAGGGTTTTTTTATTGTTTGGAGTGTGATCTGATAGTGAGTTTAAATAAGCACAACAGAAGTGAATTTGGCTAAGGAAAGGTGTGTGTCTGGGGCCCTGTGCAGGCACTAAGCCAAGCAGTCCCCTGTGGCAGTGCCAGAGCACTGTGTGACTGTAGCTCCCTCGAGCTGGATGACAAACTCTGAGGGAGTCCAGTCGAGTCTGTGTGAAACCAAATGAATGTTTTCATAGATTGTAATGTCCCAGAATAGCAGTCAAAAGGTTTGCAGGTTGTTGTGGCAAAAGGAACTGCATGTCAGAGTGGGTTAAGGTCACTTTGTCAAGCCCTTTGAGTCACTGAGGAGTTTCTGCACTTGATGCATTTCTAGTTGCATCCATGCTGGGGAGCCTTTTGGTGATAGCTACGTTGGTTGGATGTCTCACAGATTTTGCTCCAAATAAATAAGTCAGTCTTGCTTGAGTGAAGACAGTGCTGCAGGTCTAAATAAAAGATGCAGGCAGAACTGAGGGAGTCAGTAAAACTCTTCCTGGGCTGTTTCTTCTGTTCCTATTCTTTCATACTTAAAGGGTTGTATGTGAATGGCAATTTTTAATGATGTTATTCTTTTTTAGATATCAGAAGTATTTGGATTTATCAATTTCTTCTACGACCATTGCATTCACATTCTTACCGCACCACTTCTGGCTGATACATCAGAAAATTCCTATGACGAAGGTAAAGGCAATAATAATTTTTTTCCCCCCTTTAGTCCTGAAATGTTTTGAAGGGAGTTATAATCCTGAGAACAGCAACAGCCCTCTGATGCCAGTTAGGAATACTCGTGCTGCAAGCTGTTGTTCCTCCAAGGACAGTGGTTCTACTGGCAGGAGTTTTCACTGCCCTTTCTGGCAGCTGGGAATGCTGATGTAGCCTGATGATGTGCTTTGCACAGATGCACTTTCTTGATAGCTCTTGTGGGTCATGTGGTAGTTTTCCTAGTCTGATTTTAAAGAATATTGGCTGTAATGGGAAAAAAATCACAGTTGTGTGGGTTGTTTTGTTCTGACCCAACATATTCCTTCCTGAAGCGATCCAGTAAAACAAAAATCCACTAAAAACTGCATCAGAAACTGTAATAGCTGACATGTTAGCACATTGCATAGCATGAGAGTACATTCTTTCTTTCTTTCTTTCTTTGGTATAATTGAATATATTCCTTTTTCCTGTAGATGATTATCGAGCAGCAGAAAGACTTGCTTTAATTTTGGAGGTGCTTTCTTTTTGTGTGGAACGGTACAAGTATCAAATGGTGAAGTATGTTACAAGTGAAGATCTGCTAAGAAGAGTCCTGGTATTGTTGAAATCCAAGCACCAATTTCTGGCCTTGGGTGAGTATGGAGCTGTTGTGGTTTCCTTCTTGAGGGCTTTGTGTGTCCTCTGTGCAAGGTGCACCAGTATGAGTGTCTACACCTGAGCTCAGAATTCCTGTTGATTTCCTGTCTTTTCCTGGCTACCATTAAGTAATTTGGAAAGCAAGGTAGCAGCTGTCCATGAGTGTAGACTACTGCAGTTTGTGGTGGGAGGAGGATTGTGGTCCCTTTTGAAGTCCTCAGGGACCCTTTGTGATCAAGTGTCTCTCCTCATTTCCATGGAGATCTTGTCCTTCTTTCAGAAGGTCCTGAATCTGGTGCTCTTTGTGGAGAGGGAATGAAATTGTGTGAAGCAGGATAATTAAAGACTTGGGCCTGGTTCTGGGAGGGGAACAGAGAAAAGCAGAGGAGGGAGTGAACATCTGAACTTCACACATGTGAAGTCATTGCTGCTGGACTTGAGAAAGAAAGCAGTGATCCCTGATGACCTTCAAATACCCAGCAAAGTCCAAGAAGGAAAGAAGTGGGATTTATCTTGTCAGCAAATGCTGGGTCTGCACTTTCCCCAAGTGCTTCTTAATGCTCTTGCTTTGGGGGTGCATCTTCCTCTGGGGATAACAGCAGGATTTTGAGTTGTTCCCTAAGAAGCAGGTTGGAGCCCTGGCATGGGGTGATGAAATGCTTGAATGTGTCTCTTCACACAGCTGCTCTTCGCTTTATGAGGAGGATGATTGGCCTGAAGGACAAACTTTGCAACCGCTACATCATCCAACGTAACCTCTTTGAGCCGGTTGTGAATGCTCTGCTGGACAATGGGGATAGGTCCAACTTGTTCAACTCTGCCTTGCAGGAGCTGTTTGATTTCATCCTGATGGTAAGTTCAGCAGCAGCCTCAGCACTGACACAGCCTTGGCCTCTCGTGTTGAGAGGCAAAAGGCAGCTCTCCCAGATAGGAAACCTCCTGGTTTGCTGGAAGGGTCCCAAGTAGAACTGGGACACTGCTGAGTTTCTTGTCTGTTTCTATGGGAAGTTTAATAAAGGTGAATCTGATTGCTTCCCAGTTGTCCATGAATGTTTTGGCTCTGGAGAAGTGATTAGTTACTTTCTGAATGAAACTCCAATGCCTTCTGACCCTCTGAACGTGAACCCTGGAGACTGAAACCCTGTTTTGTTCTTCTGCAGGAAGACATCCAGTCCCTTATTGAACATCTAGTTGAGAACTTCTCTGCTAAGCTGGAAACTATCCTCTATGTTCCCACCTTCCAGGCAATGATGGCAAAATATGAGCTAGAAAAGAGTCGGCAAAACAAGACATTGAACAGGTATGGCCCAATTTCTGTCTTCTTGTGGCCCTTTGTAGTAGAGCTGCTCTGGGTCACTAGATGAAGTGCTCCATTCAGAAAAGTCTCAGCTTATGCAGAGCAGAATCTTGCTCATTTCCTCCAAGTTAGGATTCTGTTTGCCTCCTTGTCAGCTGGGATGTGGGTGAAGTTTACAGTGAGGGTGGTACTGGAGATGGATTGCCTTCTGCAACATGCTGAATTCCCATGGATGGTCTGGAAGCCATTTTTGACCTTGGCTGAGTCGGCAAGATCAGGCAAAGCTCAAATCACTTGTCCTGTGTCTCTTACAGTGTCCCCTCCGTGTTGCCTGGCAAGGCATTTGTCCGAGATGAAAGAGTCTCTGAGGCGGAAGAAAAACCGCAGGGCGGTGAAGTTGAAGAGGAGGCAGCTCCGACACAAAGCTCCGGTGTCCCCAGTACAACATCCACGCCCCTGGCCAGAGTGATGTCACCTGTCAAGGTGGGAGAAGTCGTGTGGAAGCTGCTGCCCTCGTGTAGGGCAGCGCAGCAGCCTCATGGGGCTTTGCCGGGTATAACATGGCACAGTCAGCAATGGCCTGTGGGCAGGGTGTCTGAGTTAGGGATAAACTCGGCCAAATCCCTGCCTGGTGAAAGCCTGACCAATCTGGAGGAAGGTTAAGGGAAGACTTAGGTGGGGCTGGAGGCTGTTGGTAATCTGTTGGGCACAGGAGCAAAAGGGATGTGCAGCTTGCACGCTGGATTTGTGGCTGTCCAGCTGGGACTTTCCCAAGTGACTTTGAAACAATTGTGTGGCCAGATCCAGGGGAGCAGGGAAGCTCCAGCTGAGGCTCAAACCCACACTCCAGACAAAAGGGTCTTGGAATGCAAAAGGCATCACCCAGAAACCTGCTGCTGCAGGGCTTGTTGGTCCCGCACAGGTTGTCTGGGGGTTGTGTACAACAACTGCTCATTCCTGTTTCTTTGAGTCTGAGAAATTAATTTCTTTCTCTTTTTCCAATTGGCAGAGAGGCCTATTTGAAATCTTTAGTTTTCCTGATGAGAGTGATAAGGATGATGAGAAAGAGGCATGTCCAAGGAAAAGAGCTCGTGTGGATTCCTAAAGGAAACGGAAACTTTGGAATAAGAACTTTTATGTTGGGGTTGCAGTGCTGTGAGTGCTTAATGTTGAAGTATGGAACCAGCTGCAATCCACCATGCAGATCACTCTTGATGAGATGTTATTACATATTAATAATGTAAGAGAGTTATAAATATGTTAATTATATAATATAATGTGATATATAGTTAATATAATTCCTAAAAAGTAATATAGTATATTTTATAGCCATATAATAGATATAAAATGGTTTTATATATATAAATATAATAGTAATATATAATAATTTGTATAAGTTATATCAGTAAGATATATAAGTAAGATATATAAGATATATAAGTTAGATATATTAGTAAGATATAATGATAATATAATTTAGAGCCATTTTTCCTGGAACAGTTCAATGTGATGCCATTTTTCTGGTTTGGACATTTTTGTAGTTAGTAGTAGTTGTAGCTCTTGTTTGAAAAACAAAAATTGTTGCTAGTTATGATATCTAATATAGTTTGTTCCATAAGATAGAAGTTTATTTTGTATTAATGATTTAGGAATTTATTGATTTAGGATTCTGTAATTTCATGAGATGTGTTATTTCCAAATGTTCTTTTAATAAATTTTTTCACGAAACCTGACTTGGTGGGATTGTTTCTTCTCTTGTGAGTGACTGTTGCAGCCAGCCATGTCCTGCCACGTGCAAAAGGGAGCCCCTCTCTTGACATGTTCTATCTGGTGCCTGAAAATGCATTGACTGCACTGTGACAGTACAAAATAACGAGCTTTGCAAGTCTTACCCAGTCCTGCCACAGGTTTTTGCCCTTGCAGTTGTGCTAGACTGGAGTGAGATGGGTTTTTTATACTGAGCATTAAAGGAGTCCCAAAGGCCTGGGGAGAGGTGAAGCTCTCGGGGCACCCAACCCTGTATTTGCTCCCTTGGTCTCATCAATAGGGATTTAAGTGTAGAAATGTTTGTAGCTAGAAGTTACATATCTTAGATCACAATGACTAAAAAGAGGGGAATAAAAGGGATTTTTTCAGTCTGGAATGCGCAGTTTGTTGGAATTGCTTATTCTAGGTGAGAAAAGTTAATTGTAATGATAATACAGCTACAGTACTACAGCTAATGATAACATGTGAAAACATCTAATGAAATGCTGGTATTGATAATTGATGATGAAGGCAACTTAGCCCTAATAGGCTTAGGAGCTCTCTAGTGCCCTCCTCAGTTCCTCAGAGATGTATGCCTGGACTCTGCAACCCTCCTTCTGTTAACCGTGTTAAGATGGGTTAGAACAAAGAAAAGTGCACATTTTTAATAGAGTAGGCAGAAGCATTTGTCTTGGTTTTATGATGGTTTTTAATTGAGATGAAAATTCAGTGCTGAGAATTTTCATAAAATCAAAATTAGAAAAAATATATGACTAGGCTTGAAACATTTGAATTCTGCTCTGTCTCCTTTCTAACATTTAATTCCTTAAAAAAAAAAAAAAAAAGAAAAAGTTTTTTCAAAGGAGAAAGGAAGCAGGGTATCAGAAATACGAAGAGAAACGTCACAGCTTAAAGTCCAAAGGAGATATTCCTCAAAACTGACTTCTGTCCTGATTAATTTTGCTAAAAATAAATCAA